AGGAAATTTAAAACGAACTTTCCGAACAACCTATTGAAATCTTAAGTATCCTGTATATTTATATAAATAACGCATAATGAAATCAATATTACAAATACATTGCACCGTGCCATTACTGCATTGTTACATTTTAAGGTGTCGGAGGGAGGGCATTTCAATGTTGCTGCAGGCTTGCAACAACGTTGCTGAAACATTTCGCAACCTCCATGCAATGTTACAATGCTGCAGTATGGTATGACAGGTGTATGCGATGTTTCTGCAATCTTTCGGTGCTGTATGGGTACATACAACCTGAAACTCATTGATTTGCGTAGATGAGAGAAATGATAAAAATGCAGGTCCAGGCAATAATGAATGAGACTATACGTCACACGCCGCTGGATTTGGACCAAAAACATGGCGTGATCGGGGCCGGCAGAGAGATAGGCACGCTAGTTATACCACGGCCGTCGCGAAGATGCGAGTGAACAGCGCGCGATCTCATATTGTGTCCGGTCATAGCCGCGAACTTTAGATATGCGGTTGACGTCGCGAAACGGATTTGCATCAGATTTGCGCGCGCGCGGTGAGCTTATTTAACGCCTACGTCATTTCGACGCGCCGTGAATCGACGAATTTGATTAAGATTATCGCGCGCGCGTGCGTCCTGTTCGCTCCATTCACAACACTCGAGCCATTGATGCGTCGTTACCGATGTTTATCGCCGCGGTTTCTTTTTTTCTTTCCGTTCTTCGAAATGTCCACTCGCGCGTTTGCACTCTCGCAACTTTACGACTGCGAGGAAAATGTACCGGGCGAACCCGAGATTTCGAGCACGGCTTCTCCCTTGACGCTCTTAGGGCCGGAGCACAAAGCAACGTAATAATAAACGTAAACGTAGACAGCGCACGAGCTTCCCAGTGAGAAACGACTCGTCGATCGATGTCAAACGACGGCGACACCGTCAAATTGACGTCGAATCTAGCGTGAACTCGTAAAAAGTGAGAAAACTTCATTGACGAGTTTAATATTTATTCATAAAATTTTTCACCTTTCACGAGTTTACGCTAGAGAAAAAGATTCGTGATTGAGTCCTCGACATCGCTTTGTATCGAAACGACGTCGAATCGACGTCAATTTGACGGATTCGATTGTATTGCAATAAATCATTTCTCACTGGGTTTGGCGTAAATGTAACGTCATACCCCAACGAGAAATGACTCGTCGATCGCTGCCGAATCATTTCTCACTGGGACGCAATTGGAAGTATGACCTACGCCGAAGCCTGTCCGCCAGTGTACGTTTACGCTTACGCCTTTGTTGTAAGCTATTACGTTGCTTTGTGCTCTGGCCCTTACAGCGAAAGGGTCTCTTTTTGTTTTTCACCGTCTAAGTCCGACACGAGAGAGTCATCGCGCGCGAACAATCGACGCGATATTTTCATTCTTTGTTTGCTTGCTCCCGACGCGCCAAGAATAGAGCGGTTCGCCCGTACATAAAGCATTAAACATTCTCTCTCGTGATATACATATACATACAAATATATATAATATATATATATAACAAGTTTGTAAAGCGCCTGAAGCATGTGTCCCGTCGGGTGGATTTGACACGCCACTGCTGTATGAATCTAATCCCCTGGCGCTGCATAAATTTTACAAGACTGCAGGTGTGTGTTTGCGCCGTTGGCGAAATTTAGATGCTTGCGTGGCCAAGATATTTCTTGTTGCGTAGCGCGCCGAAATAAGAGCGGAGGAAGTAACACGGAGAGGATGCTGATACAACGACGACGCGCCGATACAGAGGGGGGAGACAGCGGGCCGATCTCCCCACGTTATTATTACTTCCGCGCGAGATGGGACCCCCTCCCTCTCTCGAGAGGGACTCCACGGGAAGGACAATTACGGACGAGAGTGTCTTTGAAGGAGTTACGGATGCGCGGTCGCTCGTCTTCCCGTCGGCGCCGCCGGGCATCTCGGCGTCCGCCGCTCTCGCCGGACGACGATTCTCCGCGGCCGTGTAGCTCTGTGCCAACACGAGTGATTAGACATCACAAAGGTGAACGCGAGTTCACGGAGAATTCATTTTAAAGAAGATACCTGCGGAATTAGAAAACCGAACCACTTCCGACTGGGATCGTTTTGACGTCGATCAACGAGTCGATTCTCGCTGGGAAACAGATAGCACAGCGAATTCGCTAAGTATCGTTCATGTTTTACCTGCCTTTCTGAACTGTAATTCTTCAGGAATTACATAGAAGAATACAATACGAATGATTGGGGAAGTTACTGAAGAATTCTGAAGAAATCTGAAGAATTCTTGAAGAATCAGTCGCAGACAGTTCGTCTTGGAATCACAAGTTCATTGTGGTGTGCCACGTAACTTCCCCAATCATTCTTATTGTATTCTTCTATGAATTCCCGAAGAATTACAATTCAGAAAGGCAGGCGAAACTTGAAGAATACTTTGCGAATTCGCTGCGCTATCTGGGTCCCAGCGAGAAATGACTCGTCGATCGACGTCAAAACGATCCCATTCAGAAATGACCCGTCGATCGACAAATCATTTCTCGCTTAGACGCCATGGGCTCATGAATCTTTTTCCCTACCCGGCGAGACGAAATGACTCGTCGATCGATGTCGAATCGACATCGACACCGTCCAATTGACGTCGATCCGACGCCGACCGACGAGCCATTTCTCACTGGGTGGCGCGAACTCGTGAAAAGTTTCATTGACAAACGTTAAACTTGTCAATGAAGTTTTCTCACTATAGAAAAAGATTCCTGATCGAGCCCCAAATTGACGTTTCGATTCAAGGGTTTCGACGTCGATCGACAAGTCATTTCTCGCCGGGGCAGTAACGGCCCTTGGTTCGTCCCGCATACTTTGCCCGTGCAGGGAAATTTCAAAAGTTCAGCCCTTAAGGAGTTTAGGCGCCTCGTGCTGATATAACCTGACGGTTGAGAGGCCCGCAGTTCCCACAAAAGGGGTAAACTTAAAGGCGGGGGGGGGGAGGGGGAAGATTCTTTGCAGCGCGACGGCGAGCGCGTCTCTCGCCACGCACGCATCTCTCGGCTCCGGCCTGGCTCGGCTCGGCTCGGCTCGGCTTGGCTCGATCGGCGCACCCACACGTGCGGCTTACGTTGTGCCTCGCACACCTCTCGGGCTGCCGGACAGCGCGCGGCGATTCGCTGCACCCGCTACACCCACCGCGCGCGCGCGCGCGCGATCGAGGCAACACGCCGGACGACAAGAGTTCTCTCTCGATTAACCCTTTGCTCGCGCAAGATCCGCCGCTAGCGCGCTCGGCCGTCCGCATAAAAGAGACGGAGCCGAGCGGCCTGCGGCAGTTGTCATTGCAGACCTACCGGAAGCGGTTCTTATCTGGGAAGGCGCCGATCGACCGAACCGAACCGAACCGAAAAAGCTCACGCACCTTCGCCGTTACATGTCGCTCTCGGGTACGTTGAGGAGATAACGGGCCGTTATCGCGCGGCGATAATCGGCGCGGATCTTTTTTTTTTCTCTCTTTCCCTCCCCCTCTCGCGGGTGAGGATATCGGAGCCGCTTCGCCGAGAGAGTAGCGCGCGGTATAGCACGTGGCTGCGGACTATTATAAGAGAGGAGCGGGCGTGCGCGACGCCAGACAGAGCGACGCTAACGTTGGCAGAGGCGTTCGGTGGTCGGGTCGCCCGTCGCCCCCGTACCCGCGGGCGCGGTGGGGGAGGGCAGGGGGAGCATACGAAAGTGGAAAAGCGTTTTATATTAGGCGTGACGGGCGCGCGCGCGCGCGATCGTCGGAATTCGAAGCGGGCAGCGCGAGCCGAAAACTCGGTCGACGATCGCCGCCCGCTTCCCGGTTGTCGCGATCTCGCGATCTCGCGGAGGAGGACACGGCGGAGAGCACGGCCGCGCTCGCGCGGGAGGACCTCCTCCTCCTCTTCCTCCTCCTCCCACCAGGGAGGAGTTGACCAGACGGCTCGCGGTCAGTCAGTCAGTCAGTCGGACGTTTGCTATCCGATACGCTTGGCGCGCGCGGCGCGAACTCGTGGTCGGGAAATCAGTACCGGCCGCATCGTGTCAGTCAGACGCGAACCGGCGTAACGCCGCGAGGTGGAAGAAGCGGCGAGCGAGCGCGGTCGCGGGAGGTGAGGAGAATAAGAAACGCGGGCCACGCGGGTGGCGCGCGAGAGGGCGGAGTGCAGGGGCGCGAAACGAGACGCGAAGCGGTAGTAAGAGAAGACAGAGAGAGAGAGGAGAGAGAGACGAGCAAAGTCGCCGCCGCCGCCGACGACGACGAAGCGGCCGCCGCTCTGCTCTCCCGCGTCCCTCTTCGTCTCGCTCTCTCTCTCTCGGGGCACTCTGGTAGCGCAGCCGTGCACCTACCACCTTATAAAACGCGCGCCGCGGTATCGCGCGCTCTCGTGGGCCGGCGGCGGTGCGGAGAGGCGCGCGAGGCGCGAGAGGAGCGCGAATCGAGAGATCGCTCGGAGTAGCGGCTCGGAGTTGCGAGAGAGCGCGGCGCGTGACCGGGAGGCTTTCTCGCAGTTGTTCGCCTCGCCTCGTTCCCTCCGCGCGAGAGCGCGAGGTGTGTGTGTGTGTGCGTGTGCGTGTGTGTCGCGCGCTCGCTCGCTCGCTCGCTCGCGCGCGGTAATGCGGAACGTCCGCGCGAGGATCGTCCCGGACCTTCGGCGTACCACCTCGGCGCGACACGCCGAATAGGAGGAGCGGAGAGGCGGCGCGTCGCGCGCGCTCACCCGAGATACGCGCGCCCGAACGCTCTTCCCGACGACACGGCTCCTTCCCTCCCCCTTCCCTTCCTCCGTTTTTCTCTTCCGCCGGGCGGCCGCGCCGCGACGGACGCGAAGGGGTAGATTGAGTAGTGCAGAAAAGTTTTGTGCAGTGAACGGTCGTTAATAGACCAGTGCCGCGGCTTCGACGACGGCGGGGAAGGCGAGCGAGAGAAGCGGAGCGCGAGAAAGAGAGACGAAGAGAGAGAGGAGCAGCGGGGTAGAGCGGGAGGAGGAAGACGCGCTATATGCGTAAGGCACCGAGCGCGAGTGCCAGGAGCGTGTGCGAGAGAGTAGCCGGCTGATAAACCGCCGGAGAACGAGAGAGAGACAGAGAGAGAGAGAGGACAGGGTGGCCGCCACGAGAGACCGAGAGTCGCCAAGATGCATCTCCACGGTGGTCTGATGCTGCCGATCCTATTCATCGTCGCTTCCTGCCCTTTGACGCTGCGCGCGCGAAAAGTCGCACCCTTGATAGAGGACGACTGGGCGAGGAGGCCGCACCGGCCCGCCGGTAAGTATAATGATCCGTAAATCTTGTTTACCTGTTGCCCAGCCGAAACACGCGCCGACGGCTCTCTCGCTATCGGCCGGTACGATCTTCGGCACGAAGAATAGGAGGCCCCGCTCCTTCTTCCGGTTAGGGCCGACGCCGGCCCTCGCCGTTGCGAGCCTCGACCTTCCGTCACAGTCGCCTGGCGATTTTCGCCCGGTTGTCGTCTGGGAGCGGTCTCTTGTCCTTTAAAGGTTACAGAGAGTACGTGGCGCACGCGGCTACGTGCCTCGGGAGCCCGCGGCTCCGTTGCGACCGCGAGTCTCGGTCTTACATAATGAGAAACGCGCGCGAGAGGAAAAAGAAAAATGAAGGAAAGAGGAGGGAAAAGGAAGAGGAGCCGGCGGAGCGCTCGGCCGACTGCACATCCGTGACGTGGCCGATCATAATGCTTTCCTCCTGCGACTCGCAGTGGCCCGCGAGATTACGCTTTCACCGTGTAAAACGTGTTTCCTCCGTACCCGCGCGCGCGCGCGCGGCCGCGGTACATCGCTAAAACGTGACCTTCGTCCGACAGTGCCTCGGTGTTTTTGGTAAATCCGACGGGATTGACGCAAGATGACAATCGTGCAGGCGCGGCGGAGGCGCTCTCGCCTTTTATTTTTAAATTGCCGTGTGTGCGCCGTCGTTATCGCCGCTAAATCTCACGGCTCTCGTTATCTCGAGTTTTTAAAATGCAACGCGTGTCACATTTGTTTGATACTTACCCGGGCTTTGTAAAGCCAACCGGCAGTTTTCCACTTGACAATGCGCCTGAAATATCTTTGGGTGTTTGTACCGCGAGAAAGAGAGCGGGAGGGGCGCAGGCGGAGTGAAAAGGACGCGAGTAGCTCGTTTCTCTTCTTTATAAGGATCTAGCAATGTCCACCGGTCTGCTCGTGCCCTCTTTTTCCCTCCGCCAATTCCATTCTTCTTACACGCGGGTTTCGTTACCCGTTCTAGTTTATTTCTGTCTTATTTAACTATCCCGCGTGTCTCCTTTATCGGACGCGCGTCGTCGATACGCCGCGCGGGGAACGCCCGGTCGCATCCGCTCGGCGCGTTTGCGCGCGCGAGGACGGTCGGTGGACCAAGGGGTCGCATAATTTGTACCCGAACGAAACGCGCCGTACGAGATCGCAATGATAATCGCGCGTCGCTCTTATTGCGACGACATTTCGAGAACAGTAACAACGATATCGTACGGCATACAGATTCGTTCGACCGACGCCGCGTACGTGGCGCGCGTGTGTTTGCCGAACAATCGAGCGAGTTCGCGAAAGTTTCGGTTTGCCGAACCACCTGTTGGTGATCCGCGAATAATTCTACGACAGTAAAGTACTTGAAAATATTTGAAACCGATTAAAATGTGATGTTATACAAGAACACACGCACGCGCGCGCAGTTTCTATGTTACATATTTTATTTATTTTGGTTAAATTGTTTTGTATTACACACGGGGTGTCCCGGGAGAAAAGGTTAATATTCTGGGAGGTGATA